AAATGTTATAACCATCAAGATATTTCCCAGGAACGTTTCCCCTTTCATTGACATTTTTCTGACAGGGAAAAGGTGGGAATATCTTATTTGGGGAGTACTGAAATATGCAATATAGAGTTGTATGTGTGTGTAATATTCTAATCTGCAAGAACTGAAATAAAAACCCTACTATTATTTAAAAAAAAAAAAAAGTTGCAGGACAATCAAGATGAAATATATGACAGTTCCAAGTCAGTATACTATTTTTTAACAGGAAATTTCAAAATTGTGTCTAGCCAGAATACTTTTTAAAGCCAAAATTTTGCATGGAACAGTAATTCATCATCTTTATCAGCTCTGCCCTTTCCCTTGTGTTTATTGAAGCTGATTGTAACAAAGGGAAATAATTAACCCTATTCACTTGAGCTTTGAGAACAAAGGAATAACCAAAAACTGAATCATAGTAGCTGAGAGCTACTACATGAATATTTTCATTTTGGCTAGGGCTAAACGCTGCAAAGGTGCCGATTCTCTTTACTGTGAGCTAACAAACGCTCATGAATGAAACGGGTCACTTTTCAGATACAGACTGATTTAAAAAAAAAAAAAAAAACTTAGCCATTTCTGAATTCTGTAAGTAAGCCCTGAAAGTTGAGTGCCCTAGAGCCATAGGTTGCTTGTAATAGTGAAGATGATCTCATTACCGACACTGTCCTGTAAGCACGTTCTCTCTCTCTCTCTAGATATAGCTACACTTGAGCACACACTCTTGTCTGTCTAGTTCAATTGGTAGGTCATGATGGCTTGCTTACTATGTTTAGAATGTTTAAGTCAGTAGAGGTAAATATATAGCATAGTAGAAAGGTAATGATTTCACAAAGGAGCAATTTATAAATGAACTCCCCAATCCTTGAAGTGCCAACACTTTGGAAAATTAACTGTTGATGTTCACAGTCTTTTTTGGAATAGAATTATAATAGCAGCTGGGATACATATACTAGGTTTTACTTACTTTCTTTTGGAAGACTGTCTACAATGTAGTATAAATTATATTTGAAAATAAACAGATTTGAAGTCAATTTGAGGCATAATTTTTCTTTGGACATGATTTGAACACAAAATTTATTTATTATGTACTTCTCATTTCTACTTAGAAAAGGTCAAGTTTTCATGTGTCCAGGGTATACAGTTGATCCGTGTTCATATCTCAGTACCTCTAGGATAATTAGGCAACATTTTCAAAAGAGTTTGTCATACTGTGTACTGAAAACATCTGAAAATCTGGCCTAAGTTTGGGAAATGAGCTATTTAGAACATCATGTCCTAATGTATGCTCTTGGCTGCATTTAAGCAAGATCTGGAACTTTATGGGCAGTAAGATGCGTTTTGTTTCATGAGAACCGTGCTGGTAACTCGAAGGAACCAATTGCAGGCGTGAGTATCCCAGCAGAGGAAGAAGGTTTTGAGTCATACAGCAGCTGTTTGGGGGTGGGGGGAGGAAGCTAATCTTGATTTTATAGAAGATAACACTTTGAAATGAAAACTTTGAAGAATTACTGAGACTTTGGAGGGAAAAAGGAGTGATGAGTCTTTTCTTCTGACACATTAATTTCAGATCTTGCTGAGAATATTTGCTAATGTGCCATAACAAAGAACTGCAGCCTTTATTGATAGGCATATTTCAGCTTTTGAAAACTTAAATATCACACCAATAACTCATCTTTTCTTTCCCAACTAAAGTTATAGTGGACTATTATGGAAATTGATAGCACCACCTATTGATGTGATTAGAAAACTGCAGTTCATAACGCTATTTTGCATAATTTTAAAAAGAAAAAACCTTGCCATTTTATTATTGAAGCAGTCAATTATGCAAGTAATCTACTTGAGTTATTCAGATGACTAGTAAATGTCATTTGGAGGTGTTTTTCACTAAAGTTCAAAGAATATCTTTGGCAATTTTGTGGAAAGAATAAGCTCTTGTGTGTGTGCACAAACCCTTCATTGCCCAAGTGTGTAGAGAGAAGAAACGATAGTGGTGAGGCAACAGCAAGTGCATTATGAAAATCTAGGAAATCTAGGTGGTTAATGGGAATTATTTCCCCCCAAAAGTACTTCAGGAATACATACTCATTCTTGCACAGTGGGTATTTTAAGTTGTTTCAAATAGTGCCGTTTTATTGTTGCAGCAGTGAAAGCCCTGTCCCTGCAACGGGATGTGTCTGACAGGCCCTTATGTACATACAGAGCCTGGTGAAATCCATCGGTCTCTTTGCAGGTGCAGAGCGGATTGCAAGATCAGGATGCTGGATGTCAGATTTATAGGTCTATTACTTCCAACCTCATTTCTGTATCCTTTCTCTGCTAGCCTTTAGCAGGAGTATTTTAACTGTTTCCCAAACCCCCTTTTCTTGCACAATATGAAAGACCTGGTAAAAAATAACTCTTAGCAGTTCAACAGTTTTTGTCCTTAATCTCCTATAACACACACAAGCTTAACTCTTTGCTATCTACTGCTTTATTCAGGGTGCCACAGCCCAGATCTGGGAACAAGAAGGAAGACATCCAGGAACATGCAAGTCACGTAGATACTCTTAGAGTCCTGCTAATAGTCAAAATGGTTTGGGGAGTTTGAACCTGTGCCCAAAATGGATTTCTTAAGGTCAGTTCTGGATCTAATTTAACTGTTCATTTTCTCACAAGACCTACTCCCACTTATTCTGGTGGATTCAGGTGAAGGGGATTAGGAGGAAAATAAGTTGGTACAGGAATAGCCTGGTGCCCAAGATCTAGTGAAAATCTTTCTCCTTTGCTTTATACTAACTTTGCTCTCAGGCTGTATGCTTAGGTCAAAATCTAACTGCTCTGTTAGTTGTTTTAATTGTTGTCTCTGAATTGTTTTAATTCTTAAGGATGTGATTGCTTTTGTGCAATATACTACAGTGCAATATACTATAGTGGTAGCTGGCAGGCAGATTTTCTGTTGCTTATGCAACATTAAGGTTCCCCCAAACACTGACTTGCATCCAGTAGTACCTCAAGCTAATAAAAAAGTTAGTAGCATACCCTTGTGGGTAGCAGAGACTAACGCTGCTTTTTGCTTGGCAAGATATGCGTATCTGTGTCCTCTGATAGACCTTTAAATATTCCGTGTTTGTCATTCAGTTGTGATTTGCTTCCATACTAAGCCCAAAATCCAACTGTGGTTGCTGTGGGTTAATATTTTAATTGTTCTCCTGTCCCATTCTACTATATAAAGCCATAAGCCATCTGAATTAATAGATGCTGGTTTTCTTCAGCATATCGTGAATAGTTTAGTTTCCTAAAACTTCTATGCACAGTATATGACAGGAGCTTGAAATGTAGTTAAAAAATGCATGGATTAGTAATTCCGGGGACTGAGAACTAACCACTAAGTTGCCCTGACCATAGCATTGGGTTTATCTGTTTTGTCTTCTCCCCCCGGCTGTGCAAAAAACCAAAAGCATGAAAAGGGAAGCTGAGTGAAAACATCAGGAAAACAAGATCATCCAAAAGTGCCTAAACTGAAAAAGCAGAGTAATAATTTTCTCTCTCTTTCTGATCTTTTGGCATTTACTTTTTTCGTAAATCAGGCCTAATAGGAGATGATTTTTGAACTGATGTTATAATTTTAATTCTGCAATTTGTTTCAGCTCAACTGGCTTTGCCAAACAGAAAAGCAGTGGCTGGATGCCCATGCTGCCTTGTTACCACTATCTTTTGGTTTAGTTTGTTAGTTAGTTTTTAGTATGTGTTGTACAACTTTGCCATGTGAAAGGCTGGATCATGAACATGTCCTGACAATCACTGCCCAACAATTCACTCAAATTCCTGAAGAAAAATAAATATTTCATTTTCTCATCTAGTTCTGGGAATATTATTGAGTGCAAATAACAAATGCAGACGACATAGGGATAGTGGTATTAGGAATTGAAATGCCCCTTGTGTATTTTGTTTAAGTACATTCGTTATGCTAGAAGTGCAGAAACTAGTGGATCTGGATGATGACTGAGAGAGTTCCTGTTGATCAGCACTGGCGGGAGGTGGTGGATAGAGATTACAAAATAGTATATTAATAACAGGTAGAGACAAAGTGGCATAATGGTTAAGGATGCACACAAATATCTGCTATGTAAGCGTAGGCAAATATATTTTTTGTAACAGCCAATAAAATGCTACTGCTTCTCTTAGGTTCCAAAAGAAGCTGATCTATGACCCTATATGCCCCTGAAAGTATAAAAACTCAGGATAACTGGGAGAATTTTTGGTGAGTCATTCAAAATGTATTTCCTCACAAATTCAGGAAGAATTCGGTCCAGTGCACATCTCTGGGCTAGGTAAGTTGACTGAATGAATGCAACAACGCATCATGGATGTTGCATCTGGGGAGGGTCTCCACTCACTAGGAAGGCAGTTTCAGTTATACCAAGCCCTCAATGGGATTAATTGTACCACCTTCTCAATGGGATTTTTCCATGGACATCATTACAGTTTCTGATGCTCTGCTTCCTCAGTGCTGCCATGACCAAGAACATGCTGCCAGGGGTTGTTTCTGGGGCCAGGGCCCTGCCACTGCGAACTGCTCCACCCTGATGACTCAGAGCTCATCCAAACCCTCAGCAAATTCAGCTCAAAGCTGTGTCACTTACTAGGCGAGGGAGGATACAGCTGTGCATGACTGGGAATGTTTGCTAAAGTTAGTCTACACCCTCATATCAAATGAGCCATAGATTGATCTTAATAAATGGCAAAACTTGTGATTAATTCTAGAAAGTAGCACTTGTGAACAGAACTAGCACTGGGAGTGAGACCCCACTAACAAGTCACCCCTGGTCTAAATTAATTACTGAGTTAACTCTCGAAGTTCAGGCATAGAGGCACCTCCAAAGACTTGTTTGGGTGTCTGCCACAGGGAATGAAGTAGCCTGAAAATAACCAGACAAAATGGTCAAAGCTCCCCACGTCATGCTGCAGCAGGACCAACTTGGCAGAGAAACGTAGTGAAGAAACCTCACCTGAGGTGATACCACCAGGGTCTAACTAGTCTTTGCTCAGTCTGAGTTATTTGATATTTTCAGTTTCAGGAAGCTGAAAGCAAACAGATAACAGATGTTAATATAAAAAGTTGATATATGACCATGAGAAGTGAAGGTGTTGATGACTGGAAGCAATGATAGAAAGAAGCCAAGGCTCTGTCTTGCTATTTTCCTATGTGAAGAAGAGGAGTTGGGCATTGCTGCATGTGCAAGGAGAAAAGCCCATGAAAGATCATATGCAGTTTGAGCTATTTTTATTGAAAACGTCACCAGAGCCAGCTTAGGCTCCAACCTGAGGACTTATCTAAGCATCACCTTGGAGCATTACTATGGCAAGGAAAGATGTTTGAAGACGAGGGATGAAACTGGTGGAGCAGAGGAAGGAAGCGTGATGCTTGCCCTGGCAGGGCGTGGAGCTGGCAGGCTGTTCCCTCGCTCATCTCTCCCATCTCCCTCCCGGAAGTCTACACCTGACCAGAGGGAATTAGCGCAGTCTGGGATGAGTGGACAAGCAGCTCCATGCTCCTCTGTAAAGATTATTCTGTCCTGTCAACATTTACACTGCTTCTAAATCATGTTGTTGCTGACTCAACTAAATATGTACAGCTTATTCCATAGCATTGCTACGCTCCCCTCATACCTTTTGAATACTGTGTCAATTTTTAGAAGGTGAAAGTTGGAGCCAACAGGAGGAACGGCTTTTCCTGTCTCTAAAGCCTTCTGCAGTCTCACTTTTCAAAACCCACAGAACAGAAATGAAGGGCTTGTGGGGGGAGGATTTGTAAAGTATGTAGATACTGCGCTGATGATTTGACAATAAATGTTTGACAATTACAGCTTCTCCCCCTCCTTTGACCTTCTGGCCTTATAGTGCTCATTATGAACAAGGTCTGAGCTGCTCTGAGTTTGAGGGACTGAGTTTGACTCAGTCGTCGTGCTCTGGCAAACTCCCACTGCCTTCAGGACAAGTTTGATTTAATGTAAGGACTAAAATCCTTGGGGCTTGGCCTTAGGAGAGTAGCAAATGTAATCAGCTTCTTTGGTCTGACAGAATGAATAAACAGAGGCTCCCAGTGCTCGGCATCAACAGCGATGGCAGAGATTACGAGGGAAGATCTGGATCACATTACTGATTCCACGTTCCCAGTAACCACTTACAAAAGAGATGTTGGCATCGCTCTGGACAGCTCAGTGAAGGGCTCTTCTCAATGCCTAGCAGTGGTTAAAAATCGAATGAAATATACAAGTAGGGAGAGAGAAGTAACAGTGAGAATATTAGAATGCTGTTATTGGAAAAGCCTTTCTTTGTGTTCGGTTCTCATTACCCTGACTCAAAAAGGAAATAGGAGAAATAAGACGCTTGTACAGGGATGATGGAAATTTATAGAGATGCAAAAAGACTTTTGAATGAAGAGAGAGTGAAAAGATTGGTACTATTTAATTTAGAATGAAGATAAATAAGAAGGGACATGACAGAGGTATAGCAAGTAACAGATGTTATTGAGAAGGTAAATCCAGAACTACTATTTGCCTCTTCTCATGACACCTAAATAAAGGGACAATCAATTAAATGGAAAAACTGCACATTTTGGCCTAAAAAAGGAGATATTTGAACTCATCTCGTGAGACTTATTGCAATGAGGTGCAATCTAAGCCAAGTAGATAGTGAATCTTGAAAAAGAGACATTTACATCACCTCTTCTGAGTTACATTAGACAAAAGTGTATATGCTTATACACATAAGCACTTATGCTTCAGGTGTTAAGCAAATGAATAATCAAGAGGTGCTAGGAAGCAATCTCCGTTGTGTGCACTTATTTTGTATTTGACTTCTACAGGCTTCTTGCACTTCCTCTGAGAAATCTGATGCTTTCATAAAAACTGCCCTCTGCTACATTAGATGGATGATTATTTTGAAGTGATGCGGTGATTCTCTTCTAGAAACTTGGATTATAAAGTAAACAATTTTACTTTATCACGTTGTAAGCCAGCTCAATAATGCATGCAATATCTAGGTTTGACCCAAAATGATGCCAATGGAGTTCATTACTTGGTTACATTATTCTTGGCTAGTTGAGATCAGCTGTCCAGTCTCACCTCTACACAGCAGCTGGCCAAAACGATGTCACTGCAGGCTGCTTCTTTTCACGAGCATTTTTCAGCAGGATAGCTAAACTCTGAAACTTGTATGTGCCTTGGGATTGGTACTAAGAAATGCAAATGACAGGCCAGCTGGAGGAGGAGACACTCACTAAGCTCTCTTTCTTTTTAGTACCTTGTGTCTCAGCTAATTTATGGGGCTTGGAACTATCCCTTGGGTGAACTGAAATGAATGGTTTAAGCTAACATGCTCTATTTTGTAATTACTATAGGTTAAGAGCCTGTAAAATAATGCTGCTCAGCTAATGATCAGTAACTAGTTTGGGCCTGGAAATTCACTCATTGTGACTCTCTCTGTACACCTGCACTCTGTCTTGCTAGGGCCTTGCATGTGGGTAAAATTTAAACAAACTTAATTTATTACTATTTTATTTATTAAGCAAAGATGTGAAAGAAATTCTTTCTTCATAATCTCTTCCACTGTTGGTACTATTATATAATGCCTCTTCTTTCATTCAGTATGAAGTAAGGAAAGTCCATTGACTTGATTTTGAATTTTGATCGTTGGGCATTATTGAAGTGAACAGCAAACACATCTGGAGAGGTTTCGGTTATTAAGGTGGTCAGGCTCGCTCTGAGGAAATGTCTTTGGCAGAGAATCAAAATATGAGGAAACAAATAATTATATGCAACTCTGAAAGCTGCATGAAAGAACCCTGCTTGGGTATTCACTTACTACTTTTCCTTTTGCAGGGATGAATCAGAATTATCTGCTATAACCTTCAGATGCAAGTTCTCAATACTGGACTAATTAAAGTGTAGGGAACTTAAGTACTCTTTTTTTTTCCTGTGAGCACTTACTAAATGTAATATCTGTCCACAAAATTACTGTCTTCTGGCTCACGTGAATACCTGGTGAACAGAGCTTTGGCACTTTACTGCCTGAACTGTGGTAACCACTAAAGTTTATCTTTTCGCTTCTCTTTAGTTGAATTATATGAGCGCTGCCTCCCAGGAGGTACACTGCATATTGTGTGGTTACATATTATTTCCTAAGCTATATATGGAGAGAAGGAAGAGAGCTAGAGAATAAGAAATTCCTGAAAGAAGCTATCCACATAAAGAAATATTTGTAGTAGCTTACTGAAAAAAGTAACGCTTATTGTGTCCCAGGGCACAAAATGGGGTAGTTTTGTTAAAGCTGTATTGGTGGGAATAAATTTCTTTGTTTCTATTATAATGAACAGGATTGGCAGTCTCCCTGTGCTAGTAGGTGTGCAAGGGTTATGGGTGAGCTGGTGGCAATCTGGAAGAGATCTGTGGAGCAAGGGGAGTTCTGGCATTATTGTGATTCAAAGGCTTGGTTTAGCTTTTCTTAGGTCTTTTGTTTAACAGATGACAGGCTTGCCCTTTATGTACTCCCACTCCAGTCTCCCGAGTGAAAAACTGAATCCACAGTAGCCCTTTAAGTTTTTCAAGGGGACCTTCCCTATTTTTGCACAAGCTTTGCCTGTGTAAAAATGTCACTGCTTTTGTGTCACAACTGATGGGGTCTTTGGGGCTGCCCCAGTTTGCTCAGAAGTATCTATTTGAATTTGTTTGAGGTGAAGCTCCAGACAGATTTCCAAAAGAGCTCAAAACCAGTTTATTTTTCTTAAACATTTATTACTTGCATTTGAGACCATGTTCCCATCAGGCATGCAGATTCTGAAACAGGTTTGTGCCCTGCCTGAAGGGCTTTTCTGCAAGCTGGTGTCACAGCCTAAGGAGGGGCATCCTTAAAACCAGGGTGGGCTCTGTGTCTAACAAATCGGGAACGCCAGAGTAGAAATAAAGGCAATTGATGCAGCTTGGGCTTTTGTGTATAAAGACATTACATCAGAGTGGCAATAGCCTTGCTAGGTGTCATTCTGAAGCCACACCTGCAATATTGCATGAAATCCTGGAAAGCACATCGTTAAGAAAATATTGACAAACTGTTGAGAAGGTGAGAGGAGCAACAAAGCAATCAGGACAGAAGAGACCAAATGATGAGGAAAGATTAAAAAAAAAGCTAACTGCCATGTCTGCGACTTTGCTAGAAGATGATTGATTGGAAACGCAGATAAGTTTGAAGGGAGCCTGAACTCCGAAAAGAGAGAAAGAGAGAGTAGTTAGGATGGTACAGGAAGGTATAACTAAGAGTGATGGGGTGAAATTAAGCAAGAGAAAATTTAAGCTGAATCTTAGGAAAAAATCATTACTGAAATATATTAGGCTGCTGAATGATTGCCCATGGGGAGCAGTGGAAACTGCTGCCTGTAGATTGTTTAGCCTGGGCAAAATGTTATTGGGCATGTGCTCAAGGAAGCTGCATAAGCAGGAGACTGAAGTATACACCTTTTTGGTGCTTTTAGTGTTTAAAGGGTATCATTTACAGGCAGAAACTGCTTAAACCTAGACCTTCAGATTGGCTTGGCTCTCTTAGCCTTATTGAAATTTATGGGAGTGAGTTGCCAAAAATATCTGAGATTTTGGTCCTAAGGGCTAGATCCCTATTAGGAGCGAGGACCACAACAGCGAAGTGTTTTATGCCGAGATGTCAGTACTTTACCGCTCACGCTCCCATGAAGGCCCGTGGGTCCCTGTGCCGTGCATGGGGAGCGCTGTGCTCTGCATGGCAGTGGGGGACCTGGCACGGAAACCTATGGGAAGCGTGGTGGGAAGCAGCCCAGCAGAAGCCTGCAGGCAGCAAAGCTGGCTGCTTCCCACTCAGTATGTGAAGACAGTGGAGACCTGTCTTCCTAGAAACCTTCTGGGTGAGGGACTCAACATGATATCTCATTATCTGGGAGAGTTCCTAACTGAAGGGATATTTTGAATAT